TTTTTTTTTTTTTTTTTTTTTTTTTTTTTTTTTTTTTTTTTTTTTTTTTTTTTTTTTTTTATGTACCAAAGGTAAGTAACGTAACAAAAATTATTAAGAATAAATTTTTCGATAATCAAAATTTTGTATGCGACGTTCACACCCTGAAAGATCCATGTGTGTATACCGTCAACTCGTCAAGTCAACTTCACTCACTGCGTAAAAGTTGAACAAGCATATAGGTACACACACATACATGCAAATGCCCACAAACATATATAACAGCAGCAGCAGCAAGACCGTAACTCCGTAAACCGTATAAACTTCTCAGTCTCTTCACTTGAGCAGAGCGGAGTGGTACACCATCGTGGCCTTGTGCCGTCGTGCGGAGGTGCTTCGATAGTGAAAAAAAAAAAAAAAAAAAAATGGGTAAAAAAATTCCAGAAAACAGTATATTTTTCAACAGTGATATTCATAAAATTCTGCTTAAAAAAGAACTATTTTTTTCAGGTTTAATTTAATATGTATTACATTAGTTACGTGCGATATGAGATTTCGAACAAAAATACCATCTTATAATTTAACTTAAAAGCTGATATGGATTATGGATTAAAACAAATAGTATTTGTTATACGTGTTAAAGAAATGCTTTGCACAAAAAATTTATTAAACTCTGTGGCTCTGAATAATTTTTCAATGGTGTCATCAGTGCCGGAATCATATGAATAAGTTCTGAAAGTATATTACTGGCTAGAAAATATTAAAAAATTCTTTTTTACTTTTACCTACATTATACAGCACGTCAAAATTTTTTTAAACGCATAGGAATCGTTGTTATCAGTCAACAGTTATACTCATTATGGCAGTGATGTGAGCGTGCACGTCGTCAGAGTAGATAAATTCATGTCCTCCAAGTAAAAAATAAATCTCTAACCTTGAGTATGTAATAAAGTATTTCAAGATTGTATTACATTCTTTATTAGAGTACGAGTTTTTTATTTAAAAAAATAAAGTGAGTATCATCAGTAATTGTACAAAATCGTTAACAGTAAAAATCCTAATGATTATCCATTTGTTAGTTAAGAAGAGTCAAAAACTTGTAAACGTCATTCAGAAAGGAAGTATAGCATCACCTCATAGAAAATGCTTTACTTAATCTCCTCATGGTATAATGTACTATTTTTATTAGATACAAAGCTGATGTCAATTGTACTTGCTTTTTGTAGCCCGTATTCAATTTTAAATAAATTGCCTCCAAATATAATAAACTAAAGTACGAATATAATAACTATAATAATAATATAACTGTAAGGCAAAAGAAAATTAACAAAAAATTTTTGTGCCACATTAGTTCACCATACCATGATCTTCAGGAATGAAAATTCTTTACGTGATAATGTAAAAAATTTGGGTTTTTGAAACTTCTAAAGCATTCGTAGCACCGGTGAGTGTGCGAGGTATGAAGATGTGCTTCAAGTTCTCGTGATTGCTCAAACATTTTGGAACACCATCTGCAGGGGTAGTTGTGTCTATAGGTCATATGCACCACAAGATTCATGGGTTGAGTAAAAGATTCTGAACATACGCTGCACGGGTAGTGGTGTTGGGTTCTGATGTGATTATCAAGACATCCCGGTTGGGGAAAGATTTTTGAGCACAAATGACAACGATGATAGTGGTGGGCACGTGTGTGCGTTTCAAGAGTGTCCAGTCGATCAAACATTTCTGAACACTTTGTACACTTGTAGTATAACTTTTTGTTGCATCCAGAATCATGCTTGTAAAATTCGAACATAACTCTGTACGATCTTCTTTATGGGAATAATAAAGCAAACGTAATTTTGAATGATTCGACGTATAAGTTTTAGTCGTTTTCACCGTTTGATTTTTATGCTGATAATGTCAGTACTGTCACAAATACCTCAGAGTTATTATCTGCAAACAAAAAATATACAACGTTAATTACTTTACACAGTAAGTGCTGTAGTGTGTATTTTTATGGTGTATAAAACTATTGAAAGTGATTACTTGGACACGATTTTTTTTATTTGTCATAACCCCCAAATCTTACGATACATGAACATAGTACAAATATAAAACCCTAACATGCAAAGAAAACAAAAATTATTAAATGCTTGCATATCTAAATTTGATTATCATTTCGAAATAGTTTTTTAAAGTTACATCAAAGTTTATTTGTGCTGATCTCACTCTCTTAAATGTCATCGATTTTTGATTTACAAGAGTTAAAATGTTTAAGTACTCACTTTTTGATAACTGTTTTGCTGAAGTAATTATGCTCTTAACCATTTACTGTATGTAAAGCTTATCCTTGTGTTTCGATGGATTCAGAAATTTTTTTACAATATCCACATTTTAGTGAAACACACTAACGAATTTTTCATCAACTATTAAATGATTTATTGCGGTCGTCACGGTTATCAGTCCAAAATGAGAATGCATTCATCGTAGATTCAAGCAGTAATGTTGAAAATTCATCGAAAGTGATAATATCGCAATAATAATCTTTTCTTAATGAGATTAGTTTTTAAAATGCAGCAATTAATTTATGGACACTCGCTTTCGAANTTTCTTTTTTTTTTTTTTGTCCCCCCACCATTCGTCGATTCGATTCGAGAGTCTTTGCTGATCGACACCTGCGTAAAATTCTTTTTTTTTTCTTTTTTTTCCGAGTTACCAATCAATTGTTTTTTTCGGAGATGGCTACACGTGGGTATGGGTGGATTGGATTGTGGTGCGGTGCGAGCTCGTGAATTTTCATAGGCAAACAATGGGATTTTTTAGTCCAGTTACAAAAAAAAAAAAAAAAAAAAAATGTTTCAACAGTCGCACTTTTTTATCAATACTATTTCGTAAAACTGATATTTGAACAATTTTTCAAATACTTAATTCATTTTTTTTCAGTTGAAACTGAATTTTAATTAATTTATGTTTAAAAATTTTGCCACTCCAAAGTTGAAACATAAATGCCCGTTGGACACTGCGAACGCGTGCAAAAATCAAGAAAAAAAAATTAAGGCTCAAAATATACGTAAAAATTTCCGAATACTAGACCAAAAGCGTGTTAAACCTTAAACGACATTCGTCAAAAGTAAAAGAAAAAAAAAGCCGGAAATGGACTGGCACGTATTTAAGAGAGCATACAGTCAACATTTAAAAGCTGAATACATTTCGAGTGCTCTTAAACCAAAAAGTAAGTATCGACACGTGGCTGCCACTGTTGCTGAGTAAGTATTCGTCAGTCCATAAAACTGTTGGTAGAGACTTTTTATGCACTTTTCGGCTCACCCCTTTCCTCGGCAATCTTTTATTGAGGTTTTTGAGGGCTTTGACAATGGTGGGAGAAATTTACTGCCAGGTGGAATGTCTACATTACGCAGGCGTAATAAAATTGCTGTATTTTAGGTATAAAACTTAGTTGTAATACTATGGTCTACTGTTACTTTTTCCGATGTATGTAAATGACGACTGTTGACGAAAAAAACATTGAATGGGACAAACTATAGAAGCTGAGTTAAGCATCTTTCTCTTTTTTTTTCAAAGTCTTTGCAATATAATTTACGTAAGGATGGAAATGGTTCTGGGAAATAAGTGATTTCATATCGTGATAATAATAGATATTTTTGTGTAAGTTTTAGACAATGTCACGTGATAATATACAGTTTTTCTTTTATAAAAAAACTACCCTATACGTAACTCGATAAAATACGAATCCTTTCAGATATTTTGAATGTTTTCTTCTATACAATGTTAAAAATAAAACATGAAAAATTGTACTTTCGTAGCACAAAAAAATGAAGTCACATTAGTTAGAGGAAAAGATAGAAAGGTAGTTAGGTCAATTTATTTAAGATGGATATAC